TATCTATATGTGCATACATAACTAATGGTGGCTTTAACATAAAGAATAAATTCTCTACTTAATTAAAGATAAAATGTACAAAAACATGAGACCAAATTGGAAGTTTAGACTGGAATTATCAAAAAAAAATTTTTTTTCTCATCTCTGAACTATATGTCAGCAAGTTCTGAAAAAAATTATCTGCAAACTTTGAAAATATCTAAATTATTGATACTGTACACAAAATTTAATGATTTCTTCCGTAATCTTCAAAAATATGGCTAAAATTTCTTTTGTATTTCATATTAACAGCATTTTTAAAAGTCTCTGGTTGCTCTGAACACAACACTTCATACCCTCATACCTTCTTTGGAGCCACTGCGATCAGCGTTAGGTCCTGTGTTGGGAGTATATTTTGTATTTCTTGTTGCAGTACTTTGTTTTGTCCAGTCAAAATTATCTGTATCATCTTGGGTGAACAAACAAATGTTACCATCTTCAAATCCACAATGAAATTCTCCTGTTAACAAATTTTGAAGTAACTAATATTAATTAAATGAATACAAACATTGCAATACTTTAATAAAAAAAATTTAATTACGCAGCAATGCAATATCATGATAATAGCACCAGAGCCCTAACAGTGTACAGATTTATGACTAAGCATAAAATTATTTCAATATTAATAAAAAACAAACAAAAAAAACTATGTAAGTTAGTTTCTTATTGAATAATGATGACCCAAACCATTTTCCTCTGAAATATCCAGATAACTGAATTAAAGAATACAATTCATTCTTGAATTATAGCTGAACAATTTTCCCAACTTTTATTTTGTAAGTATAGGAATAATAAAAAAAAGCTGTTGATTGAAAAATGACCTTTATTAATTTACCTGATGGCATTTTAAAGATGTAAACATAGAGTTTATAATTTTTCATTCTGTGTCTACAGATGCTTTTATGTATACCCATTTGCATAAACAGAAGTTTTCTTAGTACAAGATAATAGCAAATTATTTTGTAAAGTAGTCATCTTTCATAATTTATGTGAATGCGGGTTTACCAGATGCTTGAAATTTACTTAAAGTAATAAAAATGACTCTATGAAGATCCTTTATGGGATGTTTTGTATACCTATCATAAACTGAGTTCAAACACAACGCAGGTTCAGAAAGAGACTTTTTCAAGTAATTCTCAAAACTAGGTACCAAAGGTTCTTTTACTGGATGTACCCTGCTTGAAAAATAGGTGTAAATGAAATTCGTAAGTCCCCCTAGACACATAATTAAACGATGTGTATCCTTAATTAAACATAGCGCATATTATTTTATTCAACCTAATAACAATTCTGAGAAATCACTATAATCCTTACTCACGA